TGTGTGTGTGTGTGTGTGTGTGTGTGTTCCTATACTGAGGCTTGAACTCAGGGCACCGCCCCTTACTTTTTTTCTCTCCAGGCTGCTGCTGGATCACTTAAGCCACACCTCCACATCTGGCTTTTTGTTCACTGATTAAACAAATAAAAGAATCTCATAGACTTTTCCTGCCCAGGATTGCTTGGGAACTTCCATCCACAGATCTCAACCTCCCTCAGTACCTGGGATTACAGGCGTGAGCTACGGGATGGGGGGGATCCCTCCTACCCTTCCTCCAACCACACAGACACACACCCCAGGGGAAAAGAACCCCAAACAAGTCTCTACTTCCCCAGAGGAGCATGACTGTGCATGTCTCTCTGGGGACAGAGTGCCACAGGCAATTAAAGGAGGGTTAGCAATATCTTCTCCCCCCTTCCTCCCCCTGTACCCCCCCCACCCCATTCTCACCAGTGGGAGCCCCGATCTAGGTAAACATTCCATCCGACAGAACTCAAAAGATCATGTCCCTTGAATTTCACCAGCCACCGGCCGGGTCCTGCGTGGGGCTGAGATCCTCTCCTCTTCAAGGTCAGTCAAGAAAAAGCTTTCTAAAGTGAAACCAACCAGGAGAGACAGACAGACAGACAGACAGACCGACTCACCTCTGGCAAGCTGATCCCAGACTCTCGGCTTAACGATCCAGAAGGAAGGGGTGCTCATAACTATAAGGTCTGATCCTGATCTTCATACCCCACACTCCACACGCTGGGGGGGGGACCCCCTCACCCCTCTGCCCTCTTTAAGATTTCCCCGTGCTTTGCTTTCCTCCTGTACAGATCTCAGCCACCAGCGCTTGAGAGAAAGATGCTGTGGAAAGTTCTTCAGAGGATCCCCTCCCCTCCCCTACTCCCCACCCCACCCCCTTGGAGTCTTCTTTTCCTCTTCTTCTTCTTCTTTCCTTTCTGTGAGACCGACAGAGAAGTGGGTGGCTCCTCCCCGCGTCTCTTGGATTTCCCTTGTGGCCCCCAGATAAGGGGGTGCCCGGGGAATGCCGAGAGATAGCACCGGACTGAGTGACGTCAGGTGTTGACAGACACCACGAAGCACTGGCCCCCCCCTAAATTCCCCCCCCCAACACCTCCCCAGTTTTGGCTGCTGCTCATTTCCTGAATTAGGATAGGCCTCAGTAACCCGCAGGATGAACTGTAGGGATTGGTATAGAATGGGGTTTTAGTGTCAGTTTCTCTCTCCCTCCCTCCCTGCTTCCCCCTCCCTCTCCCTCCCTCCCTTTCTTTTCTTTCTTCCTTCCTTCCTTCTTTCTTTCTTTTCTTTCTTTCTTTCTTTCTTTCTTTCTTTCTTTCTTTCTTTCTTTCTTTCTTTCTTTCTTTCTTTCTTTCTTTCTTTCCTTCTCAAGGCTAGTGCTCTACCACTTGAACCACAGCTCCACTTCCAGCGTTTATTTTTTTTGGGTTTTTTTGGTGCCTTATTGGGGATCGGAGTCTCATGAGCTTTCCAGCTCCCCCCCTCCCCAAACTTAGGAACCTTTGATCCTCAGATCTCAGCCTCCTGTAGTAGCCAGGATGACAGACTTGAACTAGCAGGGCCCAGCTTCTTGCTGGGTTTTGACCGCCCCCCCGCCATGTACTTTGGCTGAGAAGTGGGGTCTGGGAGTGAGTTTGGTTGGGAAGGAGGTGGGAGGGGCAGGGCAGGTACTTGTGAGAATTGTACTGTCCTGGGTTAGAGGCCTGAGCATCAGGTATTAAGTTCAAAGCCTGGTCTCACACGGAAAAACAAAAATAAAATCCATCAGACTCTTAATTAATCCAATTAATCAGAAAAGAAAAGGAAAAGCTAAACCAGGTGCAGGTGGCTCACGTCTGTCATCGTAGCTCCTCAGGAGGCTGAGATCTGAGGATCGTGGTTCCAAGCCAGCCTGCAGGAACATCTGTGAGACTCTGATCTCCAAGAAACCACCAGAAACGGGGAAGTGGTGCTGTGGCTCAAGTGGTAGAGCGCTCGCCTTGAGCTGAAGAGCTGAGGGACAGCGCCCAGGCCCTGAGTTCAAACCTCACGACTGACCTTTTTTTTTTTTTTAAGCTGGAAGAGGAGGTATGGCTCAAGTGGCAGAGCGCCAGCCAGCTTTAAATGATAAATCCAGGCATGAGCATGGGACCCAGAGATCATCAAAGCCCCAGTATAGAAACAAAGATCTCCAAAAAAATATATTAACAAAAACAACACGTTAAAAAAGGGAACTCTGAAAAGTAAACAGGCAAACATGTGATTGGGCATTCTGACAACCAGGGTAAAAAAAGAGAAATGTGTATGTGTGTGTGTGTGTGTGTGTGTGTGTGTGTATGGGGGTGGGGGGTGGTACTTGGGAACATGGCCTATTGCATCTTCCCAGAGCATTTCCTTTTCTGGGTGTGGGAGAGAGCCCTTTCTTGAATGGAGAAGGATCTGGGAAGTCCTGTCTGCCCGGGGGTGGTGGCCACAGCCTGGCGTGGTGGCCAGGGTCAGGGTCAAGCAGCGGCCTTTCTCCTGAGATCTCTCTGCCTCCTCCAGCTGGTGACTTGGAGTCATACCAGGACACTGTGAGTGAGCGAGCAGATGTAGTTGCACTATTGTTTAGTCCAGGCCCAGAAGAAGTAGTTGAATCAAGTCACACTGAGCATCTTGGGTTCCACACATCACAGAGTCATGTGAATGAATGGAAACTTTCCCAAAAGGGGAAAAAACAAAGACAACAGCAACAACAACAATAACAAACCATTGCTTTGTAAATTCAGGATTACCCAAAGTTCCCCCTTTCAGTATGACTTTATTTTGACTTGATTCTCAGCATTTGATCTACCCACTGGATCCTAAATCTTGAACTCAGGGCCTGAGTGCTTGAGCTCTTTAGCGCAAGGTGAGCACTCTACCACTTGAGCCACAACGCCACCTCCAGTTTTCTGGTGGTTTATTGGTGATAAGAGTCTCACAGGCTTTCCTGCCTGGGCTGGCTTTGAACCTCGATCCTCAGATCTCAGCCTCCTGAGTAGCTGGGATGACAGGCGTGAGCCTAGGTGATTATATTTACAAGTGTTTTTTTTTTGTTTGTTTGTTTTTAAACGGGGGTACTGGTGGTTCACACCTGTCATCCTAGCTACTCAGGAGGCTGAGATCTGAGGATCATGGTTCAAAGCCAGCTCAGGCAGAAAAGTGGGTGAGACTCTTACCTCCAATAAACCACCAGAAAACCAGAAGTGGCGCTGTGGTTCAAGTGGTAGAGCACTCGGCCTGAGTTGAAGAACTCAGGGACAGCACCCAGGCCCAGAATTCAAGACCCACCACCCACAACAACAACAAAAACGTACAAACATATTATCTTCCAAAGCATTTGTAGCTTTCAATATACAAGTACAGCCAAGCAGGGCTGAGCAGGCTAAGTAGTACACATCTATAATCACAGACCTAAGGAGGCTGAGGTAGGTTCCAAGCCAGCTTGGTCTATATCATGAGAACTTGTGTTGGGGGGGGGCAGCTCTGAACGCCTTTGGAATGCCCAAGACTTTGTACTTTCCACCTTTTGGGGGGGGAGGGGGGGAAGGCTGACTTCCTGTCCACCCACTTCCTGCTGCTCTAGTCACTCTAGTTTCACATTCACAAAGTGAGAAAAATCACATGTGCAACCCATTCCCCCCCCCCCCCCCCGCCCCAACACACACACATCTTAACCCCTCCATGACTCTCTGCTGTGTGTTTTCTTTGCTTTTGTTGTTTCCTCTGTGTCCTGGGCCTCACACGCAGGGCCTGGGCCTTTGTCACTTAAGGTCTACCACTTGAGTTGCAGCTCCACTTCTGGCTTTTTGGTGATCAATTAGAGATGAGAGTCTCCTGGACTTTCCTGCCTGGGCTTGGCTTCAAGCCCATGATCCTCAGATCTCAGCCTCCTGAGCAGTTGGGATTACATGTGTGAGCAACCTGGCTAGTGGATTCCTTCTTCGTGTGTGTGTGTGTGTGTGTGTGTGTGTGTGTTTTGTTTTGTGTTCCAGTTTGGGGCTTGAACTTTGGGCCTAGGCTCTATCTATCTTTGAGGTTTTGTACTCAGAGTTAGTGCTTTACAACTTGAGCCACAGCTCCACTTTTGGCTTTTTGTGGTTAACTGGAGATAAGAGTCTCAGAGGCTTTTCTTGCCAAGCCTGGCTTCAAGTTGTGATCCTCAGATCTCAGCCTCCTATGTAACTAGGATTATAGAGGTGAGCCACCAGCTCCTGGCTAGATGATTATGATGATGATTATGGTTATGATTATTTGCCAGTCCTGAGGCTTGAACTCAAGGCCTGGGTACTGTCGCTGAGTTTCTTTTGTTCAAGGCGAGCGCTCTACCACTTGAGCCACAGCACCACCTCTGGCTTTTTCCTTTTATGTGGTGCTGAGGAATCGAACCCAGGGCTTCATGCATGCTAGGCAAGCACTCTACCACTAAGCCACACTTTAGCCCCACTACCCGCCCCCCCCATTTTTTTTAAAGAAAAAGAATCATCTCCAAACCAGCTTACATATAAAATTTGAGTCATAGAAATGGTCGTCTCTTTGCGCAACACCTTCATCATACCAAAAAATGTTATATGTTATTTTTATTATAAAGGTGATGTACAGAGAGGTTACAGTTACTTTAGTTAGGCAAAGAGTACATTTCTTTTCGGACAATGTCACCCCTTCCCTCGCTCTCTCCCAGTTTTTCCCTCCTGTCCCTACCCACAAATTGTTTTTCATTTCATCTCATTTTTTTTAATTTCATTTATTTTTATTTTTATTTCTTTTTGGTCCGGTCGTGGGGCTTGAACTCTGGGCCTGGGCCGTTGTCCCTCAGCTCTTCAGCTCAAGGCTAGCGCTCTACCACTTGAGCCACAGCGCCACTTCCGGCTTTTTTCTTTTTGCTTATGTGGTGCTGAGGAA